TTTTCATCGAAAATAGAAAGCAGTTACTACCATACTCTTTTTGGTCTTCCAAAAATAATGCTACCATTATTATGAAGATTGATACATGTATATGCTGTTGAGCGGGACGCTAAATAATCAAACTTTGAAAGTTATTTAAACTGTTAACTTTTTTGACCTTTTTATTCTTTGAGAAAGTTCTTTTGACTACAACAAATGTAGGACACAAATTAACTTTCGAATCTCATTTTATAGTCTTGCCCCTTCCAGTGTCATGAACCAAGTTTTCGGGGGGGATGCGCATTCCCCCGGGCCAAACAGCTATGGACCTTTATCATGCTGCCACCATATTGGTCATGATCCCTGTATCCAATAACAGTACTGAATGATGATTTTTTGTGTGTGAAAAAGGAACCAGACTATCTTTCTTTCTAGCCTCACCTTGGTTACGTTGATTTGAATGGGAAAACAATCATGATGTTCGCAACATGATAATGGTCTATAGCGGGCCTAGCTCTTCGGGTCCTAGTACTGGTTTCAGCTCACTGCCTACCGGTCTAAATTGCGTATCCTAGAGTCACCAGATCAAACTGTTTTTGAAAATAGAAAATATTAAAAGAAAAAACTAGGTAGGCCTACGCTTTTGATTAAAGCACAAGCCAGCGGACGTGCGACCGCACAGGTAATTAACTTCAGGATACAGTGAATCCATCAGATTTACGAGTAATTGATGTAATGTCGAAGGTTCCTTTAAAAAGTACGTACGATTACTATAGGCTTATACTTTTCCTTCGATTTTGCGCTGGTCGTCCATTTTTGAAGTGAGGAGGATAATTCGGCATTGGCTGATTGACAGTGACGATGTGATAGCCGACGGGCTCTTTAGGCGTACCTTGTACTACGTACCACCCCAATACTACCGGAATCACAGTGAACACGACCTTGGCCGAACGCATTAACGCATTATGGATCGCCCTTATGATAATACAAAACAATGGCAATACAATAGATTTCCGCACAACAAAGTGCAGCGTGCACGCCAATGTCATCGTACTTGCTTCATGCAGACTATCTGTTTGAAATAGCGCCCTCAATACAATTTATCCAGCTGATCAGTCGGAGTGCAATTTTTCTCTCTCACTAATGCTAGGTACTCGGATGTAAGGATCGAGTTACAAAACTGCAGGATTGGAATCCCTTTTATGGAAATTGCTCCTGACAAGGTTTACACGTACGCAGAATTAAGGGTGTTTATATAAAGAGGAAATTTAGACAAGAAAATAAACGGACAAAGACAAGTGAAATAGATCACGTCTCATCAGTGCTGTGATGAACAACTATCTAGAAGCCAAACTATTACCCAAGGAAGACAGGGTAAATATCTTACATGATTGGGCCAATAAATATCATTATAAGCATGAGGCAAGAAGTGGCTTCGCTCTGCAGAACAAGAACTGATTAAGAATACAAAAGGGGCGGATCCAGGTTTGATGGGGTTTGTAGCTTGCCAAGAGGCGGCGACTGCAGGCATTTGCAAAAAAAATTTCGGCATGATTTTCCTATTTTGACACAAGGGGGGAGGGAGTTTAGATCCCCTTAGTGTGCATGATAATGCATGCCGAGGCCGAGGCTGCAAATCATTTCACAGATGACACAATTAGTTGGGTGATTTTTTAACCGCATTTTCCGAGGAAAAAAAAACCAACTACCAAAAACAACGCTTCACCCGGCATCACCGAACTGCAAGCAACCTCGTCCCCAGAGCTTAATTTATTTTTCCAACCGCGTTTCCGATGAGGTAGTGATGGGCGCGTACAGCTCGACACCCTGGAGTCGAGGTTGGGCTGCAACCTCATCATAATCACACTCCACACGTTAGTGATAGCGCCCTCAACGTGCATATCCTACCGATCTGTGGGGAGCAATTTTGTTGGAAAAACCGAGGGCGCCAAATATCAAATAATTATAGTACAGACCTTGGATGACAGCCATGGAATCTCTGTAGAATTTGCAATGGGTCTGAAGCTTAAAAAGTTGAGTAAGTAGAGAACATGCTAGTAACCGTCACCAGTGTACCCAGGGCATATAGGGATACACTGCACCAATTCAAGCCCCATTAAAAACAGTGTAAAATCAACCAAGTTCAGGGCCAAATAACATGCAAGCCGACATCACTGGGCTTTTTCAAACAAAAATAAAATCATTGTCTGGTCTCCTCTTTCAATTTCTTTTCATTTTTTGATGGGTTATCCAATTAAATTTATAAATATTCACACCAAAACAAACTGACCTCCCGAAAAGCTGATACTTCCCAAGCCTTTGAGCAGCCATTTTACTAATGGCATCCCTCCACTTTCTCAGGCAAATAGGACCCATTTTTCAACCGTACTTTTATCAAGTCTGCCCTCAGATGGAAGCCTAAAACTCAGGGAGTTGATACCATACCCCTCCCGTCCCCCCTCCCCCAGGATCCCCCCCCCCCCCCCGGAAAATCACTCCTTTGTCCCCCCTTAACCTCTGGGGTGCACAGTTCTAATTGAAGTGAGAATTTCTACGCGAGCTCATTAGCATGAAAAGTACATACACAACTTAATTCTTTCGAAAAAAAGGGGACCGTTTGGCTTTTAAAAGGGTGGGATCATGTAAAATTATAATTGGAAACAAATTCCTATAATTCACCACACTGCAGTTCTTTCTTGTACAACGATTTTATTACAATTTGTTTATGCTTGTCGGCAAAAATATTAAAAATGACATTTTTTTTAAACGTGTTACCACATTGCTGTCGTGTTTAGTTTGAAAACATAAGAACAAAACAAACAAAATAAAAAAAGGACAATTATATCACTGGAATTTTACGTCACAGTCACATTGGCTTATACGTATTTTGTCAATAATGAATCATGTATATTTCCACTGATCTGTCCATTCAGTTACAAACAGTTACGTCACTCATGGCACCATAAAATTGTCTCAAATACTGCACATCCTGAGCCACACATGATCACTGAAAGCTGACGATCATGAAAATTTGTGTTTTCAGAATTTGAAATCTAGATTGGTATTCGCTTGGTATTCGCAATGGAAGCTTCTTACCTGGTTAATAACCAGAAAAATTGGATTCTGTATCTCTAGATGTCTAGTTATCCTGCACTTACCTTTGCGGAAAGTTTGTCCAAAAAATGACTGCAGTATATTTCTCTAGATCAAGGGTCATGTTCTTTGCCCTTTTAATTTTTCCTAGTTATTAACCAGGTAAGTAGCCTCCATAGCGAATATCAAGTGATAAAAAAGTAGAGTTAGAAGTTCAGGAAACATAACTTACTTTAGCACGCAGTGGTGTGTGGCTCGCAATACGGAGAAACTCCAGTATTTGAGACACGTTTATAGGACTATGTCATTCAAAGAGCACCATTTATTAAGCAAATCGAGTCCCCGCCTCAACCCTTACAGTGTTTTTGGAGATTACCGACACAAAATCAGTCCAAAACATTAATTACGCACATTTAAGCAATGATCATTTGACAAAACTCGGAAATACGATGGATGCAGTCACTTTGCAGACGGAAGCCATGTTTGTTTGAATTCCTGACGGTATGCCATTGCCAGATCTCCAACTCCAAGCGATATCACAGGTACCAGACTAACATGGCGGAACACTGTAGGCCAATAATGTTTCCGTTGGGTCTAGGTTAGGGTGGCAAAACTGTCGAAAAAGGCATATGCTATACTCTCTATAAGATTGGATATAATATAGTTGCATGTTTAACTGTAAATTGAAGTGGACATGTTAAGGATTCCAACCACCATTGGGCGTCAATCACAGTTATGTATCACTTTGGGATATAGGCCCCATGCTGGTCTTTTCCGAAAGGTGACAAATTAAAAGTTTAATTATCATGTAAAAATAATTAATTTACCATTTCGCTTAAGTGTAAAGAGATCTTCGGTCAGCAGCACAGTCACAGTCACACACGATGAATAATCATAACATTTAATTAGCACAACCTGAATATTCATGTGAGGTCAGGCACGTGACACAAAGCGCGCATTTCATTGGTCAGAGAGTTTGGATGGAAACATCTCGCGAAGCTTTGTTTTAAGCACATCATATTACCAGTAATATACGTGTAAGTAGAGCACACAATGTGAACTGACTGATTTTATGATTTTATTTTACCAGCACAGAAATTTAGTTGTTATTTCCGGAAATATCCGAAGCAATAATGACATAGTTTAGTACAAATACAATCGCTTCAACCAAGAAGGCCCATTAACCAAATTGTACAAAATTAAACCAATGTTTTGATAACAATTATAATTTAAAAAAAAAAACCTCCATTGGATAGAATTTGTCGAACAATAACACCAGTCAACCCTTCCGCGCCTGCGCATGACACGTGCCCACAGAATGTACGTGCATTGGAAGAGGCAGTAAGCTGCCCACAATGCTTTGCGCGCCTATGATTCCTTCACAAAATTTTGTGCAAGAAATCGGCCCTTCCAACGGCGCCCTGTTTGCAACAAACACCATGATTATAAAATCGAATCCAAACAATTCAAAACTAATACACCTGCGGCAACCAACTCGTGACACAAAATAAATCCCTGTCATCGTTCAAAGTCGCGTCACAGTCATTACTGTATCGCCTTGAATTGGTATCTTAATTACATCCTTTTGTTCGCTCAATATACAGATATTTCCGTCTTTGGTCCGAACGCGCTATAGATCAATCCGACAGTGTCGTCCGTCCGTTTTCCGGCGCGGTGCACGCGGACAGCTGCCTGCCGCCGAGGTACAGGTGAATCGCAACCCGTCACGCACACTTGTCCACCAAATCGTAGGCACATCACGTATATCCTGTGTGTAGTGTAAGGTCACTGTACAGTGTGGTCGGGGTCAGCTTTCCAGGGGAATCGATGGTTCGGTGCGACGTGAGAGGTGTTTTGGGAAGCAGAGAAGCGTTTTCAAGCGACAGACAATGCGGCCGGCTATACTCTTTTACTCTTTTGCTCTTTTACTGAATCCGTTCTACAAAGTTCAGCTTGAACCCTCACAAAAACTCTATACTTGTTTCCTCTGCTTAATGGTAACTTGAGTTAGTCTGAACCTTCATCATTTACAGTCAGATTTCACCCGGAATCCAGGTCGGATTTGACCTGACATTTTTAAGGGTCAAAAGTGTCATTTTGACACTTTTGTTAATCAAAAGTGTCATTTGGACACTTTCTTAGTCAAAAGTGTCATTTTGACCCTTTTCTGGGTCAAAAGTGTCATTTTGACACTTTTCTGGGTCAAAATGACACTTTTACCGAGATGATCCTGATACACATGACCAGGCAGATTTGGACCCAGAGAGGTGTCATTTTGATCCGTAAAAGTGTCATCTGACACTGAAAAGAAGTCAAATCTGAGCCGGTGTAGCGTGAATATCCGACTCCATGAAATGTGGACTCATTGGTAGTATTGGGCATGCGTAACTACGGGAATATGCTATTTTTAGGATCACATACGGAAGAGTGACCTGTCACGTGCGAGGGATTAACCAATAATAGGGAAAAGGGGTCCGATTTTCATAGGAATCGGATTTTCATATGACATCGGAACTCAGTGTAACAGAGTGCTTGAAAAACTATTGGTGTATACTGGTAAGCCACGTCGCCCGATGGTGTCAATGTCACGTCTTAAAAAGGTGTCTTCAATCGTCAAGCGTCACTTTCGTTTTCCTAACTTCTCAAACGGTCATTCAATGGACAACAATAAGGCTTTGGTTAAAATGAATAAAACGTGTCAAGTTTACAAAGCAGGTTTTTTTCTTATAGTACAAAACATGTTCACTTCTCTGATAGTTCAGTTCAGACGCGTGATCTCAAAATGTCCATTCGTTATCACTGTATACAGCAGGCGATCTTGCGTAGTTTCTTTTGGATACTGCTCCTGTCATCGTCGTCGTCATCGTCGTCTTCATCCTGACTGTTACGATGTACCTTGGAGCGCAACTGGAGCAGGTCACTCCGGACGCTGGGTCGCCTGGCGTTAGGTGACACCATACCGCAGGCCTCGCTGAGGCGCCTCCGCAGGGCCAGCTTGCCGTTGCTGCTGGGCTTGAGGGCCGGGCTGCTGCTGGCGCTGATCTTACGGTGCAGGGACGGACTCATCTCGCTCGGCATCTTGGCGTTCTCAAACAGCGCCTTGAACAACACGTCGATGTTATGGCACCTCTTGGCCGAAGTCTCTACGAAGGTGCACTTCTTGGAGGACTCGAAGGCCCGACGGGCGTCCTCAGCGTTCACTTGCCGGCTGCTCTCCCGATCGCACTTGTTGCCCGCGATCACCATGGGAACGGACTTGGCGCCGTTGCCGCACTTGGTCTCCAGGATTTGTTTGCGCAGGCGCTGTACCTCGCCGAATGAGTCCTTGTTGTCGATGCTGAAAACGAGGATGAAAACATCTCCTGGAAAGAGTGAAGAGAAAACACGACAGAATGAATAGAAAGAAAATAGTCTTCCACTTGACATCGCTTTACCAAAGGACATTAACAAATATTGTCTGCAGGACAGGACAAGAGCGAGTTGTGCTGAATGTCATTACTGAGACCTCAAGATTTGGAATGGTATTTGAAATTTTAGACTGTCCAAAACTTAGCACACGCGTGCACCCTTACTACTAAGACAGACAGACTGAACACAGTAAGAGTATGTCTGCAGAAAGATCTTGGACTATAGGGCCATCGCAGATTGTGTCCTTTAAATACAATACAGGTAAAATAACAAGAAATTTTCAAAATGGCTGCCATTGCTTGTTATTCTACCTATTTTTTTTAAACAGGGAAAGCCAAATATCTTTCTCATGTCATACTCTGACTGTGTGCCAAATGCCATGCTTGTATCATCAAAAGCACAATCCCATCACCTATGTGCCTTACTATACGTTGCTACAATTCCATACGACATCGGAATCACAAAACCACAGACTAATTTATTTTGTGAATAAAAACAAAACAAAAACCGATTAAAACATCTGAAAGCCTACATAACACATGTAACAACTCACACACTAACGGACATATGTATCGGCAATAACATTTCAACAAACAATCTTTAAAATACAATTATTCAGTACGTAGTTTTGTACAAATATTTTGTCAGAGACGACACATCATTTTCCAGAGGCCTGCGGTGCAAAATCTCCCTACAGATATCACGCGGATGAAAAAATACTAAGCCGATTTGGAGCCTGTAATATTCAACTTCACACACAAACGTGTGCTGTGTCATTTGGCTGATTGTGCCTCTAGGCCAACACGGCGATACTTCACACTTCGCGACCCGGCCATATTATTCATCACGCTCAATCTATCAACACATGCATATCGGTTTCCATTGCTATAGAGAGTTCTGGCAAATAAAATACAAACCACAAACTTAATTTGAAAGTTGGATTTGGGAAGAAGCGATTTGAGTGGCACCTTTACATCCTCAGGTGATCTTAGGCAGATTTGGAGCGATGATGGAGATCGTCTCGATTCGAGTGGGAAAACTAGTCGGTCATATAATAGTCTAAGACGAGATGAGCAGTCCCTTTATCAAAACAGAAATGGGTTTCAGGAAGATTTCCAGATCTCAAATGCATGTTGGAAATCAGCCTTTGCTGATTTTCGAAGAAAAAATATCGGGACTATTTTAAATCAGAATCTGTAAGTTTAGTCAAATTTATAAGGATTTGAAATGTAGGGTGGAATATTGGTATGTTTTTTTATTAATATATTTCCATTTTATGTTGCTTAATGATAAAAAAATTACATGTAATTTAGTTAGATCATTTTGATTACAAGAAAGAAAATTTGAAGATATTTTCAGGCATTATGATTCTCCCAAATATGATAGAGACATAATAATAAACTAGAAAGCACCCAGAGAGCGCAAACCTCCGCCTAGGCTAAACAATTCCCGCCATATTGCCAGTACAGCTGAAAGAAATACTCGCATAAATGGAGAAGAATCCTTAAAAGAAATTCCTGGATCCAGACCCAGATCCGGAGCACTTCCAAAATCTAATCGATTTGTACTTGTACGAAGGACCACCCCTAAATTGTTTTCATGCAAATCTGTCCATAACTTGTTTGAGCTACCTTGTTAAACAGACAAGCCAACCAACCAACCAACCAACCAAACAAACATGAAAATCCGATGAAAAACATATTACCTCCTTTGCAGAGGTAATTAAGATAATATCAGTGGTGAAACAGTGCATAACATGAACACGTTTTTTTCCCCAAGAACACGCCAACATTTTGAAATTGTTTGTGCGCTTTTTCATATTATAATTCGCTGAATTTCCCCCAGCCCAAATTCAACAACAGAAATAAACAGTCCTGTATCCTCGAGTCAAGATCGAAAAGGTTTTCGAGCGGTTCACCAATATTTTATTAAAGTATCAGATTTCTGTCACGTCCCTTAAGAAAATCCATCAATTCCCCTCTGACAATAGCGAGCGGGAAGGAAACAAAAATGTGACTTCCCGTAACCACGAGAGGTTTCTAGCAAATGCGCGCTGCTTTCAACGAACCCGTTCGAAAACCTCTCAATAGGGGTATTAAGTGGTTCGGCCTCTTGGGGGCAGCACACACAGAAAACAGCAATTTGGTGTCAGGTTGCCCGGTGCCTCGAACTCTGCGTAAAGTACGCCGGCCGCCAGATTTCAGAAGAAAGAACAACGACCTTTTTCAAAACGAAGAGGAAATATTCGACATTGTTGGGGAAGATGATTGATACTGTAAAACGAGCCGATACGGGGAAATTCTATGGCAGTGTGATCTATGTGTACTGGGAGCAACTACGGAAGCCGGCATTTGACTTTCATCATCATAGAGACCGGCTTAATTGTTCCACGTGACCCGGAAGTAACTGCACGCGCAGCCGATAACTTTGGTTTTAAGTTCCAATAGACAGACTTCGCAGTTATTAGTTTTGGATAAACAGCTTCAAAAGAGTCAAGAACCATAAACGATTATGCATTGCTTTTGGTGAGTTAATTCACATAGGGCTAACACTGATTTAATTCATGCGCTTTTATTGATTTGGTAAAGTACGGGTGCAACCAATCATATTGGCTTCACTTAATTTGTACACGAGCGAACTAGTCAATTAAAATGGACCAAGCAATAACACATCAATATTGCGAATGAGAGTTCCTAGTCCTTAATCCGCAATCAGTAGGCCTACATAGCCGTTGGAAATTGCGCAAACATACGGAGACATGCAGCTCCATTCAATTTTGCAGATAATACATTAAAAATTGCTTCACTTTCCGGTGATTTGTCAAGGGACAGGCCGCCGACAAGACTTGAATATATATCTTCTAAAAAGACGGGGCTTTTTTTCCTCAAGGTTGTTTCCGAATCTCATCGGAAGTGCGCAGTCATCTGCGAATCTTAATCAGGTATAGACCGAGTCGAGATATCTTTGCTGCATGCGCGGACGTAATTGAATTGTACTTTGAACGTTACCATCAACGTGGACATTTTCTTTTCATTCACTCGCTTTCGCAACGAGAAATCCTTTTCCTATATGAGTTATGAGATAATTTCTTATTGGCGTGTTGTGTCGTTTGAAGTTTACGTACAATATTGGACCAAAATGGTTCGACTGATGCAGCGAAAATCCACGTCCTATAAGTTAATGGGGCAGATAATCAGATTGGACAAACAGTTGTGACTGCTCAAATTATTTGGACTTAATTTTAAATAACGCTTAAGATGCGGTCTCGGACACATCAATAATAGCAGGTTCAGGTACCTGACAAGAATATACCTTATAAAAAGGCATAAAGGTGTCAAAATTGAACCGATTTCGGCGGCTGACAATAGCCCACAATTCCTCACCAGAAAGTGCTCACAAGTGGCGAAAAATTGCAGTTTAAGTTTAAAAAAGTATTAAACAACAACTTAAACATCAAAGAAACAAATAAGAATGTCATATATATATTTTTTTCCCCTCAGCATTGACTTGGATTACAAAATTTGCAGGCTTGTAAGAAAAAACCTCTTAAGACGGAAATAACACCAGACGTATTTTCTTTAAAAAAAATGGCGGCCCTCGTTGATTAGGGAAGTGTGGTCTACTGTGCCAAGTGTCTACTGAGTTAGTGATTCAGGATCAGTGGGCAAAGGGGCTCGAATCCAGCTGCTGGCCATATGTTGTGTCCTTGGGCAAGCCACTTTATTCCGACTTGCCTCTCTCCACCCAGGAGTATAAATGGGTGCCGGCATTAGCTGGGGAGCAACCTGCGATGGACCAGCATCCCGTCCAGGGGGAATAGAACTATTCTCTTTCGTTTGTTCGTTTATTTCATGCTACTGAAAGCGGAGATAAACGCCGGCAAGATGGGCCGCATTGGCTCGTGACAGACTTTACTTTTTACTCGTCGATTGGGGATCACAGGACTAGACTTAATATCAATCTGCAGGTCGCAGACATATCCCCCGGATGCTCAACGCCACGTACAATAACGAATACACATCGCGTCAAACGACACTTCTTGCATACCGGTCACGTTCGTGAAAATAATGTTTTCAATCCCCGGGGCCCCATTTTCAACTTGGCTACATTCTCAGTCAAGCCGACTGCGGTTGATTAACTATTCATACAAGCCTTAAGCCATCTCGCATTCTGATTGGCGCCAAGGCGAAGGGGACGACGCTTTAAGTGGTCAGCAACTGCATGCACCGCAGATGAAACAACCTCAACCATCTTCCGGAATTAAAAACCAAGCTAGCTTTCTTGATTCTTATACACCGTTGACTGAACTCGAGTGACCCTTCGAGAAAGCGACAGTGTTGACCTTGCTCGCTTTTCCGCCCATTTGCTGCTAGTCATGCATGCGTGCACGATCGTTTTTTCGCGATACCGAAGCGTACATTTACCATATAGTTACAACCGGAACTTCTTTGAATACAGCCTGAAAGTACGTCATTTTGTCTTTGAGCTTCCGGACACCTCCGCGACCTTTCTATGGGCATTTACACGGGGTTGCCCTTTCTCTTGCTATATAATTTCTGACATAATGATTTCTAACCGTAATCACCCCCTAGAAATATTTATGTTGAAATTTTATCTTGGCATTTCACAAGACAAAATGAGGTATAATGGGTAAAAACGAATTTTACTTACGACTTTACACATCCGGATTTCCTTGTTCGAACACGTTTGTTTTCACATCGTGTACTTACGTGAGAACGAAAATTATAACCGGACGCCAAGATTTACCTACCTACATCCGATGGATTATAGATTTAGTCGGGTTTGCGTGAAACAGTTCTTATCAATCTACAGTTTTAGATTTGTAAATGAGAATCAGTCCTTCAAGTTTATTAAAAAATATTGTGTGTCCTAAAAGACATTCGTCTTCTATTTAAGTTTCGCTTTTTACTCAATTACCACCACAAAATAAGCT